TTGTTGTTGCTAAACATCTTGTGAAGTCTCAGCTTGTGCTTTCCTCTTTCGCTTCTTCCCTCTGTCCTTAAGTCTTTAACAAGCATCTTTCCCTGTAACAGAAAGTCTTCTAGCAGCACCATTTTGCGTTCCTCATAGTGATTCTACATTGCAACATGCTTACTTTTGTGATGTTCTCCTTTGCAGAAGTGGAGTTCCCATTTTGTTTATTTTTAAATCATTGGGCAATCTCTCTTTAAAAAAAAAAAAAAGAAACAAAAAAGAAACAAAACAAAAAAAAAAAACAAAACTGACAGCTGCTCTAAAGCCTAGGTTAAGTTTCTTTTTCCCTGCATAACTGACCTAAATTCAGTGTTCTCGCATTATCTGCCCGTTGGGCAGTTTGTCTGTTTGTCGTCATCTGCAAGTTCTTTGTTCGGTGCAAAACGCCCAGTTGAAAGCCTTGGGGGCTCTTGGCCAGGGTTAGCATCTGAACTTTGTCCTTGCATAAAGAGCTGGATTGTTTAAAATTTATTTTTAAAATTGGTATTCAACATTTGGACTGACTACCTCTAACTTTAGCAAGTTAGTGTGCTGGGAATGCTCAGCTTCTCCAGGGACATCTTGAAGTATGTGCTTATAGACCATTAAAAAAGAGCCTTGCTGCAAAGATGTACAGGTTTACCATTCACTGATGAGGCTCGAGATCTTTCTCTCAGCCAAAGCTACAAAAGAAACGTGACTTTCCTTACAAAATAAAAGAAAAAAGAAGATTTAATAATAAAGTTGCGTGTATTCGGGAGCAAGGGGCCTGAAATCTTAGAGCAATGGCCTTTTTGCTCCACTGTAGTTGCAGAGTAGTGCTCAGTGCTTCCTAAATAAGTAGCACAGTTCCTGTGAAGTCTCATGTGTCTGGATCATGCAGTCTAAACTTCTTTTCTGTGCCAAAACCCGTTTTAGTGCTACAAAGAAGCTTAAAATCTCACAACACTGATTTCACAATAATTTCTGTGGAAAGTCCCACATGCTCAGTGCAGTGTACACGCTTTCTGCAAACTGGATGAGAAAGAGAGGGAGTTCGAAGAAAGTCAGGTAAGACAGTGAAAGGGTTCGATCTGTATGGAAGTGTCTGGACTCACCAGAGCCATCGCCCCTCCAGTTCCTGAACTGGAGGTCCAAGGTCTCCAGTCTCATCTGTCCTCGGAGATGCCTACTGCCACCCTCTCCCTTCAGTGCTGTCATGTGGCCGTATTCGTAGGTCATTATCTTCCATTTTTCGTGGAAGTGGATTTAAAGGATCTCACTTCACTCATGACACTAATGGGGTCTCAAAGAGGCTGTATGATGCAGTCATTATATAATTTCATTAAATGTACATACAAAACCATGTCAGAAAACCCACTTTATTTAGGCAATAAAGTTAGGAAACGCCAGAAGGAAGTTTTCCTGATGGCACTTTTGGGAGTTTATGCATAGTGTTAGTCTTCCTTAGTGAGATCACATCCTAGCACCACTGTCTCTTTAAAAGATGAAGAATAATCTCTTTAAGATGGAGCATACAATTTAAAACACATTATTTGAGTTCTGTCCTGAGGGCAGAAGTATTGTCTTCCACTGGTTATGTACTTCATCAAAATTAATTTACTGTCAGTACAGCCCAGTGACATGGAGCATTATTACCTCCGTTTTACAGAAGGGAATTCAGGCATGAAATTAAATCGGCAATAGCACTGATTTGGGGTGCCAGTTTCAGGAGCCTTCGATCTGAAATGTGGGTGTGGTTTGATTTCCAGAATAGTTTGCGCTCAGAGTACCGTCTTCAGTGCCAAGGCGAAGACTAAGACAGTTGGGCAAATCTGACCACAGTCTCAAGGGAACAAGCACTGGTAATCACACGGGAAAGGATTTTTCCAAGTGTCTTATGCAGCACTCCTTAGGGACACTGGGGTACCTGCACGGCTATAGGTTCCTTCTCTGAAGTGGCATCCAGTTGCCATAACTGAGGCTCTTTCTGTTTCCAAACTTCCATCAGCGTTTATTGTTCAGTTTTGATGGTCGGTGAGGCAGTGATCTGACAGACCAGATTCTCCCTCCTTTCATAACAACAGTGCCTCTAGAGTGGGCCCTGAGCTGTTGGTTATACAGCTGAGGGAGGAGACTTTATGACCGAGATCAGACATGAATCTCCCCTCTGTGTGTGTATATGTGCACACACGTACGGTGTGTGTGAGCAACCATGAAGACAAAAAATAATGGTCCACTTGGTGAATGTTTCATGTGTAAATACCCTGTGATCTACGCTGCATCCATATGCATGCCCCAGGTAAGTAGGATTTTTGTTTATGCATTTGGCAGTTACTGTGATTTTTCTGAAAGTGTCTTATGTAATAAAGATGATGATGATTTGAACACTTCTTGTAGTACAGAGCACCTCCATCTTAACATGAGAAGGAACTTCTTTACTTTGAGGGTAGTGGAGCACTGGAACAGGCTGCCCAGAGAGGTGGTGGAGTCTCCCACTCTGGAGACATTCAAAACCCGCCTGGACGCTGTCCTGTGTAACGTGCTGTAGGTGACCCTGCTCTGGCAGGAGGGGTGGGCTAGATGATCTCCAGAGGTCCCTTCCAACCCTAACAATTCTGTGAATTCTGTGAATTCAGTTGGACCTTGAGATGTTTGCCACTGTTTTGTTGATGATTTCCTCTGTTTCAACTCTGGTCGTGATTTTGTTTGGGAAGAGGAAAAATTGCAATATCAAAAGCTCCAAATTAAAATTAAACATAATATTTGGGAACTGTTCCTCATCAAAATTGGGCAGCTAACCATTCCGTTCCACAGCAACATTGGGGAAGGGCAGGATTGATACTGCTGAACTTCTTTGAAAGATAAAAATCGAGATAAAGGCTGGGAGGGATGAGGGAGAAGGGAAAACTTTTACCTCTGCCCTCCTCACCTGTAATTCTGCCAGCACAATTTCTACATTTTCATTATGAAGCCACCAAATAATTGGACTGTTGGACACCAAGAGTCCCACCTCTGAGATGAGCTACTTGCTATGATTCCCATGGCTTTTTCCCTGTATCAGTCTCCTATCAAACATGTTTCATAGAACGGTTTAGGTTGGAAGGGACCTTGAAGATCATCGAGTTCCAACCCCCCTGCCATGGGCAGGGACACCTCCCACCACACCAGGTTGCCCAAGGCCACGTCCAGCCTGGCCTTCAACACCTCCAGGGATGGGGCCTCAACAACCTCTCTGGGCAACCTGTTCCAGTGCCTTACAACCCTCAAAGTGAAAAACTTCTCCCTAATGTTTAATCTAAAGCTGCCCTTTTCCAGTTTGAAGCCATTCCCCCTCATCCTATCACTACATGCCCTAGTAAAAAGTCCTTCCCCAGCTCTCCTGTAGCCCCTTTAGGGACTGGAAGGCCGCAATAAGATCTCCCCGGAGCCTTCTCTTCTCCAGGCTGAACAGCCCCAACTCTCTCAGCTTCTCCTCATAGGCTCCAGGCCTTGGATCATCCTCGTGGCCCTCCTCTGGACACGCTCCAGCAGGTCCATGTCTTTCTTATGTTGGGGACTCCAGAGTTGGATGCAGTACTCCAGGTGGGATCTCACAAGAGTGGAGTAGAGGGGCAGAATCACCTCCCTTGACCTGTTGGCCACACTCCTTTTGATGCAGCCCAGGATCCGGTTGGCCTTCTGGACTGCGATTGCACATTCCTGGTTCATGCTGAGCTTCTGGTCAATCAGCACGCCCAGGTTCTTCTCCTCAGGGCTGCTCTCCAGCCATTCCCCACTGAGCCTGTATGTGTGCTTGGGATTGCCCCGACCCAGATGTAGGACCTTGCACTTGGCCTTGTTGAACTGCATGAGGTTGGCTTGGGCCCACCTCTCCAGCCTGCCCAGGTCCCTCTGGATGGCATCCCTCCCCTCCAGCGTGTCCACCTCACCAAACAGCTTGGTATCATCAGCAAACTTGCTGAGGGTGCACTCGACCCCACTATCCATGTCCGCGACAAAGGTGTTGAATAGTACATGTCCCAGTACAGACCCCTGAGGAACGCCACTCGTCACTGCTCTCCACTTGGACATTGAGCCGTTGACTGAAACTCTTTGAGTGCGACCGTCCGGCCAGTTCTTTATCCACCGAGTGGTCCATTTGTCAAATCCATGTCTCTTCAATTTAGAGACCAGGATATCATGTGGGATGGTGACAAACGCTTTGCACAAGTCCAGGTAGATGACATCAGTTGATCTTCCCTTGTCCACTGCCGGTGTAACCGGATGTTTCTTACAGGATACGTTCAAGGCAATCAATTGGCCTGTGTCTCCAGCTCACGCGTTCCCTCAAACCAGCAAGCCAGTGGTTATGCTTCCCCACTCATTTTTCATATAGCCTACTTTTTAGTCTTTCACTATATTATCTGCTTAAAGCTGTAACTTCTGAGTTGGAGAGCTTTTTCTTTTCGTTTTCTCCCCTTTTCTTTTTTCCCTCCACTCTTCGTGCCTAGTACACGCTTGGCATAAATAAGGGCAGTGAGGAGGCCAATGCATGGCCCACGTGGCCGTCTCTTTTTGCCAGGATAAAACCTCAGTCGCAAACCTGGAAATATTTCTCAGATTGTTTTTCCCATACCACCCACATCTTTTTTTTCCACAAGAGGAAGCTGCTTATGTTGAATGCTGTGGGAACCTAATTGTTACTTTATCGCACAGTGAGGGAAAAAAAAGTGCTAATTAAACAACGTGCTTTTCTGAAACCAGATGATACTTTCATTTTCTAGAAAGAGGAAGCTTAATGTTAAATCCCTTCGTCTCAGCCTGGTGAAACCAGATGAGTTGCCAAGAAGTTTTCTGATTTCATTTGCATAAACCTTTTTCTAGCTACTTTGAAGAAAGTTCAAAGCTGACTGGTTATTTGCCACTCGGCAGCAGGAATGCTAGCTTTTCATTTCCTCTGTGTTTGAGTACCAGGAGGGGTAAAACTGTTCATCTGCATATGATAATGCTGTTTCTTTATTTGGATCTTCCCTTTTTAAACGGAGGGCCCGGATTGATGCAGGAGTCTGAAGGCTGAGTTTGGCTCCAGAGGAGTCAAAATGGGCTGATTTACCAGCTTCTCTAGGCTGGTGGGACGCAGAGGTTGTTCATCAGCGCAGAGCAGTGTTTCAGCAGTTTGGAACAGGTGATGGCGAATGTTCTTCTAAACATGAGAATTTGCACAATGTGCCTGAAATCTCATCTTGGCTATGTCAGTAGCCCAGATTCTTCTTTTCTGTGCCTTTTGTTCTTCTTACCCTTTAAGATCTGGTTCCTTGCAAGGCAGAGACGTGCTTCTTCCTCAGGTCTGCTGGCTGAATGTCACGTTCATCTTTTCACAGTTAGTCTCCCCTGGGCTTTGCGGTGTCTAGGGACTGCTACTCACCTAACTGCAACTAATGAAGCAGTTGGTATGCTCACAGAAAAAAAAAACAGGAATGTGCCAGGACTTTCAGAGGTGGTTTTTATTGGGAAAAACCTCCTATCCCAAGTTGAGATGATGTGCAGCCCTGGTGCGTTGCTCTGTTCCTTACAAAGGAGATGAGAATAAGGAGGGTGATTTTGAAGAAGAGTTGGGATCATCAGTACTACACAGGTGTCAACTATGAGCTTTGCGCAGGTGTAAGGCTACAAGGAGTCATGGGAACTCGTAATCTGCACAACAAGCAGGTGTCTTCGGTGGACTGTTTAGCTTAAGCAAAAGAGACAATTACTCTTAAAACAGGTTGATCAGAATGCAGTGGCATCCCACATGGGGACTTTTTTAGTTTAGAAATAAAATGGGGAAGCCCATTTGACTGGATAAGTATATACAAATTGGATGATAATGCCATTTAGCTAATCCACATTAGTTTAGGGAAATGAAACCACATCTTTTTTTAGTTTCTCAAACATCCCTGCGTTGATGTGTCCTCCACTTTAGCTCTCTACTCATCTCTGTACATGTTCTCTTTGCTTTGCTCTTACTGCGCAGTCTCTCTAGCTGGGATCTGTTTGGTGGGTGGCTCTATACAGTACAAGTTTATTCTCCTCTCCTTTTGTTCTGTCTCTTCTAACAACAAAGCAGAAAACCAGAATTGCTCATTACAAGACAGACTCCTCACTAGTAATTAATCTGAGACCAGTCATCACAAATGGTTGTAATGTGTGTGTTTGTGGCTGGCCAGAGCTGCTGCTTGAATATTTTAGCTTTTTTTTCACTGGAGATACCTGACTGAAGATACTGAGGCCATCAGCAGACCCTGAAGCCCTAAACCCATAGCAGAAACACAGGTTCCACTCCTCTACAGCTAGTGATCAAACCTGCTACTTCGGAGCATTAGCAAGCTGGTCCCCTCTTATGCAGTCTGACCATGCAGAAGGACAGAAGCTCCTTCTGTACCCTTTGGCTGATATGTACCGTGTTTTATTTATAGTCTGAGACATCTAAGCAGTGTTAATTTTTCATGCACTCCTGTTTTCTCTATTAGGTTATGGAAGATCTTTTCAAGACAGCGACAAGCACTGTGCTCTCCAAATGTCCTCATGATGTTGAGCTTTTTCATAAATACATAGCTCCTGCCCAGAAGGTAATAAATGCGACAGTAAAGAGCTGCAATCCTGTTGTGCATTTTGGGGGCTCTTGTCTATAGGGAGGCTTAATTTTTATTTTTTTTTTTTTTTTTTACTATGTTGCCCTGTGTTAACAAACTGTGAAGAGCTAGAAGTCAGCCTGAGCTTAAATGATTGTTCAGGCCAACAGAGAGAGGACACACAACTGGCAGCAAATGTGTAGAACTGTAGCTGTCACATCATCTAGCAGCCTCTGAATCATCAGCTCCGATAATCGGGTACCCTTTTAGCACTGAATGGCTGGGAGTGGATTTTGACCCGTATCTAGATCACAGTGCAGACCTACAAATTAAAACTTAGAGGGAGGTGGCTATTCTGAGTTTCCCCTGGGCTCCTGAACCCTTAAGAGTAGCTTTACATTTTTATTTTTTCTTCTTTTGACCAAGGACAGGTTGGAACAAATGCTGAAGAACAAATTTGTGACGTAAGTACTTCTATTTCAAAACCATCTGGAAGAAGGCTTTTGGGGAAAGAGATCCTATTTTGTTTTCGTTCTTTTTCTTTCCCAACGCAATGTCTTCTGGGTTAGCATAATGTCTCCAAAAGAGCATGAATTGCAGTTCCCTCTGTACTGTCCGACAGTTGCCCTTTCATCTCCGCATGAGATTGGCATGTGAATCAGCTGGCCTTTGGCTTTTGCATCCCTGGACAAGATCTTCTTTGTATAAGGGTATCCTCCTTCCAGCATGTACCTGTGCAGTGGTTTGCTCATTGTCTGTCTTGATTTTGTCTTTGGTGCTCTGTCTTCCTTACACTTCCACTCTAATGGCTCTCTTTTTATGAAACTATGTTTTGATTTAAAAATCCCAATTGGTTTTCTGTTCCTGATTGCTTGTGCAACTGCTTTTCCCAGTTCTGTCTGTGCTGAAGAACTGAAGGGTTTTGGTTTCCCTTCTTGAGAAGCCTCTTCTTCCCTATTTCTTCAAATTAGTGGTGCTCTCCATTCATCCCACAGAACATTGTAGGGCTACTCAGCCCAGCACTGGTTTTCCTGTTAAGCAGCTACAGCCATGCTTGAGCAACAGGGTCGTTCATGATAGGTTCTCCCTGTGCTTCATGCCTGCACAGACACCATGGGAGGCCTTAGTGAAGTCGCTCTCTCCCCATATCAGTCCTCCTCTCTTTAGACCTAACTGATATTCCTGAAGGGACAGAGGTGCACTCGGCTTTTCCCACGGTCCAAGGAAAAAGAAAGCAAGTCAGCCCATCTCTCTCTCCTTCTCTGTCTGTCTCTTCAACTGCTGGCAGATCTGGGGCAT